TAGAATTCAATACCTTTCATAGCATGGCGATCAGTCATCAGTCGTTTTACATTCTCAACATACGTGGGTGATTTTGAACTATCTTTATTAACGGGGTTAAGTTAAGGACATGACTCGCTAAGTCACCCTAGTGCTACCCGATAGACTAGGTATACCGTCAGGATAACATAGGAAAGATCTAGATATAAATACGACACATTCATTAAACATAAGCACCACAATGCGGACCCCTGGAGGGTAGCAGAGAGGTCACACACCGTTACACTCGTGTCTCCGTCACCAGACAAATCAGCACTACCGTCACTACTGTGTCTATAAGGCTACTCGACTCTCCAGTGTATAAGACTACAACACAAGTCAGGTTTAACATTACAACAAGCAGAATCATTTGACACCAAGTCTACTCTAGGGACACCTAGATAATAAACAATATTAAAGTACGATTTAAATGTTTTAACAATCGATCAGCCAATGGTATTTGTCAAAAATAACCTCCATACATCGCTATAAATACAGACTGTTTATTTATCTGTGAGAAAACTTGACTGGATAACTGTAAACCCCATCTACCTATCCATGTAACCACCAACGATGTCCATCTACATATTCATGTAACCACCAACGATGTCCATCTACATATTCATGTAACCACCAACGATGTCCATCTACATATTCATGTAACCACCAACGATGTCCATCTACATATTCATGTAACCACCAACGATGTCCATCTACATATTCATGTAACCACCAACGATGTCCATCTACCTATCCATGTAACCACCAACGATGTCCATCTACATATTCATGTAACCACCAACGATGTCCATCTACCTATCCATGTAATCACCAACGATGTCCATCTACCTATCCATGTAACCACCAACGATGTCCATCTACCTATCCATGTAATCACCAACGATGTCCATCTAGCTATCCATGTAATCACCAACGATGTCCATCTACCTATCCATGTAACCACCAACGATGTCCATCTACATATTCATGTAACCACCAACGATGTCCATCTACCTATCCATGTAACCACCAACGATGTCCATCTACATATTCATGTAACCACCAACGATGTCCATCTACCTATCCATGTAATCACCAACGATGTCCATCTAGCTATAGATGTATTCACCAACGGTGTCCATCTACCTATCCATGTAATCACCAACGGTGTCAATCTACTTATCTATGTAATCACCAACGACGCCCATCTATGTACTAGCCAACGATGCCCATGTACCTACATATGTAATCACCAACCAGAAGCATATAGAAGATATTCTCGTGGATTGTTGTTATTCCCTTCTCCTCCCACAGCAGGAAATTAATTCTTCACAAAGCCATGCATTCTCCGTGACTCGGACACGACATTCATTAGTGTCAGTAAGCTTTTAACGTTTTTCTTGCAAACAATTTGTCAAGGTAAAAAAAAAAAAATACTGAGTTTATAAGGAGGCGCCAGTCTAATCAGAGAAGAAACTGCTATCTGTCACAAACTTTGATTATTCAACAAGGTGTCAAGGTTTACAATTACTGTGCGGTTTAATGAACTTCCTTAGAAAGCAGTGAAGGAAATATATTGATCACCCATTGGTTGTTTGTTTGTTTTTTAAACTTAAGACAGTATAGATTGATTTTTGAAGGCACCATATATGATGTACGCATTTCATGTGAACAGAAGGTTACAAGTACGTGATGGTGAAAAGTATGTTTTACATGTAGACAGCAGTAAACTCACTCAACTTTGGCACACATGGACACACGTCTCTAATCTACTCATCGCCATTAATGTCATCAGAATAAAGAAGAACAGCAGTCATCCGCTTCATCAACACAAGCTGGATGAGAGTGTTCCACGACAAACATTAGGCGGCACAAGCATTTAAAGAAACAATAAGAGGATTAAACCCCGTGAACTTCCAAGTCGAAGTCGGTAATTTGCAACATGTCTCTCCCCCCCTCCCCCACTCTCTACGCAAGCCCGCATGTCTACACTATTAGCTCAATAGCACTACATACGATGTATAAACGAAGTAAAGCTAATAAGTGTATTAGGCAAGTTAAATATCTCTAACAACCGACGTATTTTTTTCTACTGATATTCTCGCCAGTTAAATAAAGACAAGTCCACGCGCATGTTTTGGGTATAGAAAAACAATACTAACTTAGGTGTAATTAGTAAATCACTGCAAGCAAAATCAAAAACTCTGCCCTAAACTGACAGTTACCTAACACAAGGCAACTCAATTATTACATCACCGTTTAGTATCGTTTGAAGCTATTGATTTTTTGTTCACTGTGTAAGTACATGAAGTTCACACAGGGTAAGATTTATCTGTCTGTTCTTATGTTCTTTTTTACGTCTGTGTCATACGCCCGTCCCATGGGAGCAATCCCAATTAATTATATCAAGACAAATTGTGTTCTGTGGTGCAATGGACAGATTTCGTCCAGTAAGAAATTTGTGCTCACTAACATATACAACTAAAAGCATTGATGAAGCAGCCCGTAAGTGGTCAGATAAAGGACATAGCTGTCATAGGAGCTGAAGAGACAATAGCTGTCTTTACAAAATACACAGCAGTGACAAGATACAAGACCCAGATAGTGACATCTCTGACTTAACAGTAGCAGTTTTAAGAATGTTAAAATTAAAATGACTAAAGACAAGGCAACTTGTCACTTCATTACTATTGTAACTAATGTACAACAAAATAGGACAAGGCATGGTGCATGAATACTATAGAGCACACACATTCGTAACTTTCTAATAAGATAATTTTTATCATAATAATTTTGTTTGCCCATACCACAAGAATACTATCAAATTTCCCCACACCTTAGGAATACCATCAAATTTCCCCAAACCCCAGCAATACCATCAAATTTCCCCACACCCCAGGACTACCATCAAATTTCCCCACACCCCAGCAATACCATCAAATTTCCCCACACCCCAGCAATACCATCAAATTTCCCCACACCCAAAGAAAACCATACAAATGCCCTTAATACTTTAAAATTTCCCTTTACCTCAAGAATACTTTAAGTTCCCCACCCCTTCCTGGCTTTGATGCATATCTGATTAAAGTTAAAGTTTGGTGAGGATGCAGTTGATCACATTAAACAACACAATGTCTATATATTATTATTATTTTATGCTGACTGATAATGACAGATGAACTATTTCAGCACACTGTTTAGTATGGATGGCATACATTTTTAAGCTAGTATATTAGTTCTCAAAATGACCTACATTGAATAAACTGTAGAACTGATTTGGTTTTTGGTTTGTTTTTTTTATTACCAATGTCATTAAAAATGTTGAAAAAAAATATTAAAGCTTATGTGTATATTTTTTTTCCTGTTTTCATAACTAGACTATTAGTACAAAATAAAAATTAATGTATCCAAATATTTGTTTCCAGCTCCACTATATTTTACAACTATACAATAAATTATTTTTTTTACTGCACTTAAATAGAAAGTGTCATTATTTTTGTTGACAATAATAATAAGTTTTGGTGATACAAACAAATCCATCAAAATATTAGTTTATACAGTGAACATTTAACCACCAAAATCTGTACAACAATCCACTAAAAGGTGTTGTATTGACCAAATACATGTATTTTCTCAAATTAATTAAATTTTATCATATAGGCCTAGATATTTTATTTTATTTTCAAAGGTTCATTTAATTTCTATGGTTAAGTATTGTAGGTCCGACTAACAAAATAGGTTTAAAATCAGGGATTTTATCTAAGTTTTATCTCACTATTTCTGTTGAAATCATGAGCTTTACAAGAAACTTAAAATAATCAGAAATAATTATTAGAGACATAAGATTTAGATAGCATAAAGAGAGGATTAGATAGACTTCAATTAAGCCAGAATAAGCACATTATAATTTACCTATTAGTATTTGAATATGTATTTTGATTAGCTTGCATATTAAAGTGACAAACGCAAAAATAAAAAAAAAATTAAAAAAAATATTTAGGCCTAATGGGTTGTTAGATCCATTAAAGTCAAATTACGATTTTAATAAAGCTAGAATAAAATAAACCAAATGTAAATCCCAAATTAAACTCTAGTGGAAGAAATAACAGTAGTGGAACATGTAGGTTTGCATTTTTAAAATAAACACACCTCTAAATTTAACTAAATTATGAATGCTATTATGATTAGGCCCTGTAGTTGATTAACCTTAACTAAGTCGAAGAGTTCCTTGTTAGATCCACACACTGTGCGCTCTGTGTGTATAGAGCTAGATCTTGATCTAGAATCTAGTTAGAATTATGTATTATAGTATAGGCCTAACTAGATCTAGATTCTAGATCTAGATCTAAATCTAGTAACAGCAAACCTAACTTAGATAACTAGCCTAGATCTAGCATTCTAGACTAGCTTGAATGATGCTAGATTAAGATAGTGCTACAGCCTAGTACTAGATCTAGATTCTGTTGCTTAATCACAAGATCTAGATCTAGATCTAGATCTAAACTAGATCTAGATCTAGATTTAGTCAAGACAAGAGGACACAATCAGGCAGGCTACAGTAACGTAACACTAACACTGACTAACAGTAACAGTGTGTAGTGTGTACAGTAGGCCTGTGTAATTTAGTCTTGAGCTATTCTAGATTTAGAATTCTATAACTAGATCTACACAAAGTATTTTCTTTACTTTAGTTAAGGGCTTAAGGACTAGATTTTTGTTAGATGTAGAGTGAGTATTCTAGAGACAAGAGTCTAGCTATTCTACATTGAACTTTGGCTGAACTTTTGATTTGTGTTGCTGGTTACTAAAAAAAGAGAACGTAAAATTTAAGTGACTAATGTTTAGTCTAAAATGTAGAGCACACGAGCTGTATGACATTCCAGCACTGAAGTTGTTGTTGTTACATTACATAACAGCAAAATTGTTCGGCTTTTTTATTTTTTATCATAAATACAAAAACGATAAAGTTTCAAAACACGAACCTCTGTTTTCGTGATCCGGTGTTTGGCAAGTTTGACAACAGCAAAGTTTCCCTTGCCGATAGTCCGTTCTATATCGTAAAATCCAACTCGGATTTGCCCTTTCGGCCTATCCGCCATGACCATTGTTTAGGGTTTCGATTTCATTAAATCTGCAAAGTATAGATCTACGAGGCCACTTTTCAATCGTGTTAGGCCTCGAAAAATTCTCCAAACACCCGACATTTTCTTTACTACCGATATTCTCGCATGGCGCTTCCGACTATGAGTGACGTCATTCTGACGTCAGACTCACCTATTATCTGATTCGAAGGCGGAGTTTCGAACATGACCGTTGCTAAGAAGCGTGACGCAAGTGATCGTCGTGTGCTACTAACGTTCCGGGGGGAGGGAGGGGGGATTTAAGAAAGGGTAAATTTCTATTCGTTCACTTACTCACCATCGTGTATTTCAGGCTGTAAACAATAGTCCGATGACTAATGTCGATGTATTTTTTAAATATCTTAACATCAAGAACGTATTATTTCTGGAGACCAAGATTTTAAAAGCCTTTAGCATCCTTAAGTAAAAATTTCGCGTTTAGAGACATATATGCCTATTTGACTACAGATCTTGACAAATAATTTAGTAGATCTAGAATTTAGATACATGTAGAATTGCTATTGTGTGCGTGGATCTACAAAATCATATTTTAACACACCAAAAAATAATTTCAGATTGCATGCAATATAGGCCCACCCAATCTTCAGTTACATTCTAATTGCCGCAGACAAAAATTGATTTTTAAAGAAATAGTCACATTTAAAAAAAAAAAACCAGGACGATGTCGAAATACTATGCATAAAAAGAATGCTCCTAATGGAAATCTAGGCTACGAACTGATGCACTTTATGATGCTGTGTCGTGTCAGAGTGACAAATATCCTCGCAACAAATCGAAATCGTGGGCTGGCTGTAGCTAGTCGCTATAACAGAAATAAATAGCCAAGTCAGCATAGCCTTTAAAGATAGTAATATATTACTTGCGTAGCTATATTTCAGTATCGTGAGTCGTCAGTTTACAAGAATGGGGTTGCGTGCATAAATATAACATGATATTTTTAAAACCTACACCATCAACCCAATTTTACATAACTAACATTATATTACAGTTTAATTGGACTCTAGCCTTCAGTAGTATAACGTTAAAAACCCCACCCACCCCACTTTAGACAATTTGGTCCTCCCCCCCTCTCCCCCGCTTTTTATGCTTATTTATTAGGGCGACTACTCTCCTCTTATTTCCTACCTTAACAGTAGAGGTCTTTCAATAGGGGGGGGGGGTGTTGAATAGATGGGGTGTTATAACCCCCTCACAGTATATATAGGCTCATATAGGCTATACACATATACATATATATATATATATATATATATATATATATATATATATATATATATATATATATATATATATATATATATATATACCCATGTGTGTGTGTTAATAAAGAAAATCTGACACCCTCCACTGACACAAACCTGTCAACGCCACTGGTTTTTCTATGCTTGTTTGATGATAAAGTTATTATGTGTAGGTAAAATGCTGGCCCGTTCTCGCAGTCTCGCACTGTTAAATGTTAAATATTCTTTGTTTGTTTGCAGTTAGCAGCTTCTGTGGTTGTTAATGTTAAATGCTTCTTTTCTTCAACTTTTAATAATAATTGGAAGGGGTTTTCATTCTATTAGTTGACGATTAGAATCTATCATTATCTGCACCACACCCTGACACCAGCCTCAAGCTTATTTACCCCTTCACCTACCCCCCAACCCCACCTCGAAAGATGGATACCAAAGCTGTGGTTGTCGAATCTAGGTCACCCATCCTATTTTATCCACCCATCCCATTTTATCCACCCATCCAATTAGCTCCACCCCTCCCAAGGGTCGGAAGATGGGCTGGGCGAATGTTGTGTATATACACCCCCCCCCCCCCTGTATCCACTCACCCAATTACCCCCACCCCCTCCCAAGGGTCGGAAGATGGGCTGAGCGAATGTTGTGTATTTGTGTATTTACACCCCCCCTGTATCCACCCACCCAATCCCCCCCACCCCTCCCCCCAGGGTCGGAAGATGGTCTGAGCAAATGCTGTGTATTTACATCCCCCCCCTGTATCCACCCACCCAATTACCCCCACCCCCTCCCCCCAGGGTCGGAAGATGGGCTAAACGAATGTTGTGTATTTGTGTATTTACACCCCCCCCCCTGTATCCACCCACCCAATTACCCCCACCCCCTCCCCCCAGGGTCGGAAGATGGGCTGAACGAATGTTGTGTATTTACACCCCCCCCCCTGTATCCACCCACCCAATTACCCCCACCCCCTCCCCCAGGGTCGGAAGATGGGCTAAACGAATGTTGTGTATTTGTGTATTTACACCCCCCCCCTGTATCCACCCACCCAATTACCCCCACCCCCCTCCCCCCAGGGTCGGAAGATGGGCTAAACGAACGTTGTGTATTTACAGTCGACAGGAAACGTAAATAGACAAGGCGAGCACTTTGTTTTCTTACCTGATGGTTCGACGCGCGATGCACGTGCATAATGGCGAGTCAAGGTGAGCGTTCGATGCCCGAAATATTAGACGGGGTTTGGTGGACTGCCCTGGGGGGGGGGGGGGGGTGAGAATGGAGAGTGGTAGACGTAGCTGGTTCTTACAGTAACTGGTAGATTTAGTAGGTTCTTACCGTAACTGTTAGTCGTAGTAGGTTCTTACAGTAACTGGTAGATTTAGTAGGTTCTTACAGTAACTGGTAGATTTAGTAGGTTCTTACAGTAACTGGTAGATTTAGTAGGTTCTTACAGTAACTGTTAGTCGTAGTAGGTTCTTACAGTAACTGGTAGATTTAGTAGGTTCTTACAGTAACTGGTAGACGTAGTAGGTTCTTACAGTAACTGGTAGATTTAGTAGGTTCTTACAGTAACTGGTACACGTAGTAGGTTCTTACAGTAACTGGTAGATTTAGTAGGTTCTTACAGTAACTGGTAGATTTAGTAGGTTCTTACAGTAACTGGTAGATTTAGTAGGTTCTTACAGTAACTGGTAGATTTAGTAGGTTCTTACAGTAACTGTTAGTCGTAGTAGGTTCTTACAGTAACTGGTAGATTTAGTAGGTTCTTACAGGAACTGGTAGATTTAGTAGGTTCTTACAGTAACTGGTAGATTTAGTAGGTTCTTACAGTAACTGGTAGATTTAGTAGGTTCTTACAGTAACTGTTAGTCGTAGTAGGTTCTTACAGTAACTGGTAGATTTAGTAGGTTCTTACAGGAACTGGTAGATTTAGTAGGTTCTTACAGTAACTGGTAGATTTAGTAGGTTCTTACAGTAACTGGTAGATTTAGTAGGTTCTTACAGTAACTGTTAGTCGTAGTAGGTTCTTACAGTAACTGGTAGATTTAGTAGGTTCTTACAGTAACTGGTAGATTTAGTAGGTTCTTACAGTAACTGGTAGATTTAGTAGGTTCTTACAGTAACTGGTAGATTTAGTAGGTTCTTACAGGAACTGGTAGATTTAGTAGGTTCTTACAGTAACTGGTAGATTTAGTAGGTTCTTACAGTAACTGGTAGATTTAGTAGGTTCTTACAGTAACTGGTAGATTTAGTAGGTTCTTACAGTAACTGGTAGATTTAGTAGGTTCTTACAGGAACTGGTAGATTTAGTAGGTTCTTACAGTAACTGGTAGATTTAGTAGGTTCTTACAGGAACTGGTAGATTTAGTAGGTTCTTACAGTAACTGGTAGATTTTGTAGGTTCTTACAGTAACTGGTAGATTTAGTAGGTTCTTACAGTAACTGGTAGATTTAGTAGGTTCTTACAGTAACTGGTAGATTTAGTAGGTTCTTACAGGAACTGGTAGATTTAGTAGGTTCTTACAGTAACTGGTAGATTTAGTAGGTTCTTACAGTAACTGGTAGATTTAGTAGGTTCTTACAGTAACTGGTAGATTTAGTAGGTTCTTACAGTAACTGGTAGATTTAGTAGGTTCTTACAGCAACTGGTAGATTTAGTAGGTTCTTACAGGAACTGGTAGATTTAGTAGGTTCTTACAGTAACTGGTAGATTTAGTAGGTTCTTACAGTAACTGGTAGATTTAGTAGGTTCTTACAGTAACTGGTAGATTTAGTAGGTTCTTACAGCAACTGGTAGATTTAGTAGGTTCTTACAGTAACTGGTAGATTTAGTAGGTTCTTACAGTAACTGGTAGATTTAGTAGGTTCTTACAGTAACTGGGAGACGTACTAGTCGCTTACAATAATTAATAAAAATAGCTGTATCTTAATGTAACTGGTGAGCTAGGTAGATGCAGTAAAATAAAATTAAGACGCGGTATTAACTATACTTTTTTTAAGTTAAATGTAAAAGCAAAATGATTTTCAAAAGTGGTATTTTTTTCTCGAACTGAAGTTTATTATTCTGTGAGAAGGTTTTTTTTTTTTGAGAAAATGCCGTCGGATGGGGGGGGGGGGGGGGTCTCCTTAAAATGTTATTTGTCATCTGCACACAGTATAATTACTGGCACATATTATAGTTGGCTCCAGGTACTGTCCTAAACTCAGGTATTATTATTGGCACTTCATGTTATAGATGGTTCCAGGTACGCCTACTGTCCTTGGCCCATTTTGTCGTCATAATTACTAGGTATTTTCTTAAGGCATGTTAAGTCAAAGACATTATGCAAAATACTCAGCAGCAAGTATTAGCCATGAGCGCCAGCCTTATCCTAGACATCACCCTTATCCTAGACACCCACCCTTATCCTAGTCACAGGGTTTATCTTAGACACCAGCCTTATCCTAGACACCGACCCTTATCCTTGACACCCACCCTTATCCTAGACACCGGCCTTATCCTAGACACCGACCTTATCCTAGACACCAGCCTTATCCTAGACACCCACCCTTATCCTAGACACCCACCCTTATCCTAGACACCGACCTTATCCTAGACACCCACCCTTATCCTAGACACCGGCCTTATCCTAGATACCGACCTTATCCTAGACACCGGCCTTATCCTAGACACCGGCCTTATCCTAGACACCGGCCTTATCCTAGACACCCACCCTTATCCTAGACACCGACCCTTATCCTTGACACCCACCCTTATCCTAGACACCGGCCTTATCCTAGACACCGGCCTTATCCTAGACACCGACCTTATCCTAAACACCAGCCTTATCCTAGACACCCACCCTTATCCTAGACACCGACCTTATC